CTGCAATGCTTGGTAAGAAATGTACGCATTATCCTGCCCATGTAATTGTAACCCCTCTGTACAGTATGTTCACAAATAAAAAATAAATAAATTAATTTTAAAAAAAGATAATATTACTTGCTTCATAGAGAACTGTATTAGATTTTAAAAATTAAGTGCTTCTGCCAAGCAACAAAGTACCTTAACACTTACTAGATTAATTATGAATGTCATGATCATTATATTCTTCATTCATCATATTATTATCCTTCCATTGATTAACTATGCTGTGTGTTTTCTTAGGCAATAACAGTTGATAAAGCTCGGCCAAGGGTATGTAAGAATAATTTTGTTAAATCTGAAACATTTTAAAAGCTAGAAATTATTTCAAAATAAAAAGCCAAAAAAATTTAAAGCCCTTCTGTGCAGAATACAGGAGATAATATTCTGACTCATATTCTTTTATGATCTATATACTTTATACTAGTTGTTTTACCTCCATGGCTGCCCAGCTGAACGTACATTAAATTATTTATATTAAATATGTACATTAAATGGCTTAAAGTTCATGGATTCCTGTAGTGCAGGACAGGCTGTTGAGCAAGCAAACAGCCCTAGTTCAGATTATATAATTTTCCTCTGTCTGGTTTATCTGTGAAATTTCAGATTCTGCTACTAAAATGAATAATTGAGACTTGGAATTCAGTGTAAGAGCATTTACCTAGCAAGACCTAGTTTGAGCCCTAGCTGGGTTCAAACTTCATCATTGGAGGTTGAAAATGGTAGTACCAACTATTGATACCATCATACAACATTAAGCTCAAATATAAGTGCAGAAAGCCAGACATAAGAAGGACATGATTCTATTTATATGAAGCCATAGGACAGGTAAAACTAATGTTCATATTACATCGATCACATGTATATTTACATATACTATACATATATGTGTGGTGAAATATAAATCAGATCCAATTTTTTTCAAGGTGGTGGTTATATGAATACATACACCTGTCAAAACTTCTAGAATATGTACTTTTTTTTTTTTTACCTTACCCAAGCCCAGAATTCAAGCTCCATTACCAACAACAACAACAACAACAAGCAGTCAAAACTTCTAGAACTGAATATTTTTTGTGTGCTGGTCCTGGAGCTTGAACTCAGGGTCTGGTCACTGCTGTTCAAGTGTTCTACCTTTTTTAGTAGTAAACTGGAGATAAGACTCTTACAGACTTTCCTGCCTAGGCTGGGTTCAAACCATAATCCTCAGATCTCAGCCTCCTTGGTTGTAAGTCAAGTCTCTGGTGCTTGCTTACATCTGTATATTTTAATGGGTAAATTGACTTAAATATTAATCTCAAACTTCATACAAATAAATGTTTTATACTGATTCATTAAACAGACCATCACTGCTTAGCTAAGGGCAAATTTCAAGACAGCAAAAGAAACATGAAAAGGGAAGGGGAACTATGATCAAGCTGAGCCTTACAGGATTAAACACAGAAGTTCCCAATAATTTATCACATACCTTATAGAAGAAATATTGTACAAGATGTGCTATTCTCACATAGTACAGATGTCCATGGGCCAATAGCAGTTTCTTTAAATGTTTAAACTTTGGGACAGAATAATCGCTGTTCCTGGCTGCTTGGCGGCCTTCTTTACCTTTAATCCCTAAAAAGACAGTATCTCTATAGAGTGAGTATTTTATATATGTAACCTTCTGATTTGCTCTTACATTTTTACATTGATTAAATGCTATGTCAACTGTCTACTTCAGCTTTTATTAACCAAAAAGGGTTTTCTTCAACAGGGATACTGAGATCAAATGAAAGTTAAATTGGTAACTAGCTATTTGTAACAACATAAAATAATTAACTAGAATAATTATTTTAATCATTACAAAGCAAAGCCATATGAAGGAAACCTACCCCTGAAAATTATTACTTTATTTTTAAGCAAGGACTTACTTCAGTACAACAAGATAAAGTACAGAGAGATGATTTCCCTCATAGGAAATGGGAGTTAAAAGAGTACTTCTGAAAATTATTTTTAAAGGACTCAGTTAGTACGTAATTGTGCATGACACTAAGCCAGGTGCTACATTAAGGCAACACAGAAACATATGTTTCATGGTCCAGGAGCTTAATGGGAAGATAGTGAAGTTCTTTCACTGAATGAAACTGTCTGCTAAAGAATCGGTTTTATAAGTTCAAAAAGCTTTATGCTACTTCCACATAACAAATGAGCAGAGATTAGACTTCTATGCTAAATATGTCTGCTTCTAAATTGGAAGGGGAATTTGGTACCCAAATTCCCAAGACGGTAAAATTTGATACATTATACTAAACTGCTGCCAAGAGAAATGTTGGGGTACTGGTCTGTTGTCGATTAGCAGCCTGACATGAGAAAAAAAATGGTGCAGGTGGCAGAAAAGCTTTTTGGTGCATGTCAATATATAAATTCAATACTATAGTACAAATCACCTACAGATACTCCCATGAGGGAAACAAGCTAATTATAATTTCTTAACCCCCAACAGTTAACTATCTTAATACACATAATGCAACAACACAAACAGTTTGGCCAGCGGGGGAAAAGAAATAAATGAAATTTCATGCATACTGTCAAAATGAGTTAAACAATCAATTGTGTTGCTATTGGGCTTGAGAAATTCACATTGTTTGACTTCCTTAAAACATTCTCTAAGTCTCTTTTGTCCTATTTCCACCAGGGTAGCATACATTGAGATGGTCAGGAAAGGCTCTTCACTAGATAAACAATGATCATTGCCAAATTCAAATTCAAGACAATTCAAACAACCAAAACAATTTCTCTAGAATATAAAAGATTCTACCTAAAAGCAATACTGATAACTTATAGCTGGCACTTCATTTGCTGCTTCTTACCTATTCCCACATGGGATTCCAAAATCATGCTAACATCATTGGCACCATCACCTATGGACAGAGTTATTGGACTGCCTTTTAAATTCTTCACCATTCTGACAATCTAAACATTAAATACAAAAAGAAGAATAGAAAAAGTCAAAGAAGAATGTGGCACTGGACTATAATTAGGGGCTTATACCTCATTCATACTTCGTTTTTTTTGGGGGGGGGGTCCGGTCATGGGGCCTGAACTCTGGGCCTGGGCGCTGTCCTTCAGCTCTTCAGCTCAAGGCTAGCACTCTACCACTTAAGCCACAGCGCCACTTTCGGCTTCTTTCTTTTTTCTTATGTGGTGCTGAGGAATCCAACCCAGAGCCTCATGCATGCAAGGCAAATACTGTACCACTGAGCCACTTCCCAGCCCCTCATTCATACTTGGAAGTGCAGGTTTTGTAAACAGAAAGGTCATTTGTGCATGTGTACCACAGACTTAAACTCTCAGAATCAGAGGAACATACCCATTCAAAATGTAACACCATTACCCACTTGTTTCTGGTTCTGTACAAGCAAGAACTCTCAAAAACCTTATCTACCATCCTTATTAGATGTCAGATGCTTCCTTCTTTTGCCATCACTTCAAGGACCCTACCAGATCATATGATGAATATATGATAGTAAATGCCAGAAAGCTTTGTGTTAAGATGCACAAGACCATAGACTAAAGGTAGAAAATCAAGAGTACAATGTTTTGGTTACTTCTTTCTCCTCTCTGATGACATTTTGACCTCTCCTAGGAGTGACCTACTCTTATTATAGGAACTTGTGCTAAATTCTTACGCCTACATGGAAGCCAAGTCTTTACTAAATATCCCACGACTAAATATGGTTCACTCTCTCCTATAAGCAGTAACATTTTAAAAAAGGACATCTTAAAAGGATATTATATTTATAGAGAGATGCCCAATACATGCATACAAAGCCTGTCACTGTATCATGTCTCTTCTAGATGTACAAGTAATACTGTATAGCTCAGTGCAGTGTTTTGGGCAAGTACTGAATGTTATTTCTCCTGTTAAAAAAATTTTGGTTTGGGGTTCTCTAGAACCTTCTGACAGGGGCTGGGAAGGTGGCTCAGTGGTAGAGCGCTTGCCTTGCATGCCTGAGGCCCTGGGTTCGATTCCTCAGCACCACATAAGTAAAAAGAAAAAAGCCGGAAGTGGCACTGTGGCTCAAGTGGTAGAGTGCTAGCCTTGAGCTGAAGAGCTGAGGGACAGTGCCCAGGCCCAGAGTTCAGGCCCCATGACCGGACCGCCCCCCCCCCCAAAAAAAAGAACCTTCTAACAGTTACTTGTGGGAAGTGTACTGAGTGTATTTACATAAATCACTACTTGTTATGCCAACTACAAAAACCACTTAGGAATTTATTAGTCTTAATAAAGCAGTACTCCACTGTAAGGCAGCCTGAAAGTAGTGAAAATATATCAAAAAAGAGAACATATGATGGGAGGAAGTTGTGTTTTAACAAGCTTAATTTGGGAGTATGGAGGGAAAAGGCTGAAGAGAAATGGTAAGAGCAATATATCAATGAAGAGAATAAATGAAATAGTCTGCATAGAATTTGTACTAGGCTAGAGTCAAAAGTTTCAAAACAATGCATGAAAATGAGAGCTATAACAAAAGGGAGCTAAAAAAATCAACAGGACATGACAATTACATATTAAGCAATAGAAGAAGAATCAATGGCAGTTGTGAGAGTTGGGAGCAAAAGTAAATTATAAGATGTATCTTTGGCCTGGGAAGGTGGCTCAGTGGTAGAGTGTTTGCCTTGCATGCATGAGGCCCTGGGTTTGATTCCTCAGCACCACATAAGCAGAAAAAGCCAGATGTGGCGCTGTGGCTCAAGTGGTAGAGTGCTAACCTTGAGTTGAAAAACTGAGGGACAGCGCCTAGGCCCAGAGTTCAGGCCCCACAACCGGGGGTAGGGGGTGGGTGCGTGTGTGTGTGGGGGGGAGATGTATCTTTCACACTGGAAATTAATGTGACTGCAGAAAATCCATATGATAGCTACAAATCAGAAACATAACATAAAGAAAATGTCAGGGACAGAGATAATCAATGAAGACAGAAAAGTAGAGGTGCTAATCTAGAGATTACTCAAAGGAGAACCTTCACCTTAGAGAAAAGAAAGTGAAGAGAAGCTATAAGAAGTAAAAAAAATAAAGATAGTAGAATGCCAAAGAAGGGGAGAAATGCCAGGACTATGTACCATTACAGAAATCAAAGGCTGAGAGAATGTAATTGATAGTGTCCACTGAGGTGGAGAGGTAAGGAAGAGGATGAAGAGGATGCAAGGGACAGGGCAAGGCATGCTCATACGGAAGGCAGTGTAGTGATAAAAGCAAAAAGAACAGGACACATGGGGTCAATGTCAGAGAGAGCAAGGAACAGTGGATGCAGGCAACTGATACCAAGAACTCATTAAAGAAAGGTAGAAATGGAGGAATTGGACAGCAAAGTTGAGGGGATAAGGTACAGCACAAGTTTTAATCAATTGGGAAGATTCTTCAGTTTGATCACAGGAAAATGGAAAGGAAATGCTGGAAAGGAAACTTTATATTTATCTAGAAGGACCCAGAATGGAGCATCACCTATTATTCACTTACCTGGGCTTTCTGTAACGGTGCCATCCGGCAGCAGAGCACTGCAGTGCACTTCATACAGATCTGGAGGAAAATGCTTTTGTAGTTGTTTGAACTGGAGTCTTGACTAGAATTTAGTATAAGTGACAGTGTGGCACCATCGATGATTAATCCGTATTCCTGATGTTCTGTCCATGTTCTGAAAAAGACTTTTTTTTACTCCTGTGTTTGAATCTATTAAACATTTTTATCTAGGATCCTGGTTTTTGAAATGGCAGAGGGGAGTGTCCCAGATAAGTTATCAGTCTGGTTTGTTGACTTGTTCATTCCAAATGAGCAACTGCTTCTAATAATGGCACATCTTTCAGTTATAGTTTTAGACATTAAGTTGCCCATATAGTTTACTGTAAATTCTGAAAAGTACAAAAATAAAGGTATTTATGCAGTTTTCATGGATATAAAAAATTAAAGCTCAATTTTGGGACTTGCACATCAATCATTCCATCAGACTAGTTAAATATGAAGACAAATCATCAATTAATCTGAAACTCCTTAAGAAAACTGTAAGGAAAAAAAGACAAAATGGCTTTGGGGTAAACAAATCATGGGATACCTTTCTCTAATATGTTTGATGAAATCTATCTGTAGAACACAGCTTCTCAAATAGGACAATGCATCAGAAAGATATGTCGGGGTCAGGTGCTGGTGCTGGTGGCTCACACCTGTGATCCTAACTACTCAGGAGGCTAAGGATCTGAAGATAAAGGTTTGAAACCAGCCTGGGCAGGACAGTCCGTGAGACTCTTATCTCTAATTAACCACTAAAAAGCCAGAAGTGTAACTATGGCTGAAATGGTAGAGTACTAATCTTGAGCACCCATGCATACACACACACACACACACACTTACACACCAAAAACAAAACTCAAGGACAGCACAGGTCCTGAACTCAAGCCCCAGGACACATATAGCCTGGGACTCTCTCTCCTCTCTTCCTCTTCCTCTCTCTCTCTCTCATATATCCTGGGTATTCTTTTGAGTTATCATAGTGGAAGTACTAGATACAAGAAAACTCCAATTATAGACTCAGTTGTCTAAATTTAAGACTACTCAAAATTTAATGTATGCAATCATCGTGGGTGGCTCATGCCTGTAATCCTAGTTTCTTAGGAGACTGAGATCTGAGGATCAAGGTTTGGAGCCATCCCAGGTAGAAAAGCCTGTGAGACTCTAATCACCAAAAAAGTTGGTGATTAGAGATCTTGCTTTGTTGGTAGAGAGCCAGCCCTGAGCAAAGAACCTTAAGTGATAGTGCTCAGGCCCGGATTTCAAGCTCACCAGTATGAGCATACATAAGAAAAAAAATTAATGTGACAAGATCAACTAGGGAGGTTATTAAAATTCTGTATTTCAAACAAGCAGTCCAGTGACAATAAAAATGCTATACTATAAGCCAGTCTTTGAGTAATGAAGGCCTAATATATTCCATTCTTTCTTTCTCTTTCTTTCTTTCTCTCTCTCTCTCCCTCTCTTTCTTCCAGGGGCCTGAACTCTGGGGCGCTGTACCTCAGTTCTTCAGCTAAAGGCTAGCACTCTACCACTTGAGCCACAGTACCCCTTCTGGCTTTTTCTGCTTGTGATACTGAGGAATCGAACCCAGGACCTCGTGCATGCAAGGCAAGCACTCTACTGAGCCACCTTCCCAGCCTTCCCATTATTTCTTTATTGAATATTTCTTTGAAGTATACGGCTTATACAATAGTGATATTTACAAAATTCCTATTTTGCCTCATAATTTTTAAGCATATTTTATTCACTAAAGTGACATTGATTATTCTCTCTTTGCTTATTTACTCATAGACCTAATTTACTGAGCAGAAACAGCAGCCCAATAACCAATCAAGCAATACTTCTAAGTAACAATACTTCTAAGTAACAACTTTAAGAAGGCCATATTATATGGAGGATATTGTTATTGCTAGATTATTTGTCTAGCTGCTGTTAAGACCCTAGGTTTAATCCCCACCACTGTAAAGAAAACAACAACATTATCTTGGGAATGTTTTTTTTGGGGGGGGGGTATTAGTGGGGTTTGAACGTAGAGTCTCCTGATTGCTAGTTAGGCACTCTACCACTTGAACTACAATCCCAGTCTATTTCAAAAAAGAATTATTGATTCATCTTTCCTTGGAAAAAAAATTTCCTGGATTTGAGGTACATATATGAGAAAACACACATAACTAAACTCTATAGTAAATGGTTAATGCTCAGTTACCAAGAAAATAAGTCCACACAGAAAAGAATAGTGTGTTCTTTTTTTGGGGGGGGAGGGGTCTGGTCGGGGGGCCTGAACTCTGGGCCTGTCCCTCTGGGTGCTGTCCCTCAGCTCTTCAGCTCAAGGCTAGCGCTCTACCACTTGAGCCACAGCGCCACTTCCAGCTTTTTTCTTTTTGCTTATGTGGTGCTGAGGAATGGAACCCAGGGCTTCATGCATGCAAGAGCGCTCTACCACTGAGCTACCTTCCCAGCCGCTAGTGTGTTCTTCGTAAGGTATAGTATTTAAGATGGGACATGAAGTCAGGGACAAAAGAAGTGAAGGGAGAAAATGTATGTTGGAGCATACCGGGAAAACTAGTTAGTTATATGAAGATCACATGAGGGTAATGGAAAACTACCAAAGGTTTCTCAATAGGGTTGTGATATGGATAGTTTGACTTTAAAATCACTCATCTAGCAGAAGGGCTTAAGGACTCAATGTGTGAGAGGCTAGGTACTGATGTGGTATGCTACTAGTAAGAATGGAAATATGGCTAAAGCTTGATAACTGATAGGAATTGGAAGGGGAAAAGGAGTAGAAGCTGCAAAGGTGGTTCTGAGTGCTCTATATAGTTTCTTTTTTTTTTTTTTTTTTTTTGTCGGTCGTGGGGCTTGAACTCTGGGCTTGGGCGTTGTCCCTCAGCTCTTCAACTAGAGGCGTGCGCTCTACCACTTGAGCTACAGCGCCACTGCAAAGGTGGTTCTGGATGTGAAGCCTGTGTAATGTGGGTAAAGATTGTGCCTGATTCCAGATACATAATCAGGAAGAGAGGAACTAAGATGGTAATGGCTTGTACTATTTTTCTAAGCCTTGAAAAATGTAGTTTTAAGTTAAAACAGAGGTGGAAAATCAAAGTGTCAATCTCAAATGGGCTATTAGCTTGGTCCTCAGGGAAGGATTCAAATTAAAGAGTAAAACACCTATAATTAGAATGACAAATTATAGAAAATGAATTCAGCATAAGCATCAATTATTTACACTAGTCCTAATGTGTAAATATAATAAACTGATGTACTTTCTTACTTTTTAAGGCTTCTAGTGCTTTTAGGAAATTCGTGTAACAACTTTTTACGATATTCTATCAATAATTCATGCAATCGATCTTCTTTCCTTTCACTTTCTTCAATGGTTTTTGAGGTCAATTCCAAAAGCTCAGTGCTGGTTTGGAATAGGCGACATGCATAGCATGTGGATTTGGCTGTCTCCATCTTGTCCCCAGTTAGCACCCAAACTTTCAGGCCCGCTGCATGCAGCGCTTCAATGGTCTCTGCAGCTTGATCTTGTAACCTGTTAACACAGAAATCTTGTTAACCTTCAGAAGTCCTTTTAGAGATTCTGCAAGGCTTATTAGAGAAAGCATTTTTATAATTCCCAACAATTATTATTATAGTTGGTTCTCTTACATATCATTTACTTTTCTTGACAGTGTTGTCTCTGGTAAAAATTTTTATTTTTAACCAATACTGGGACTTGAACTTGGGGGCCTGGTCACTGTCCCTGAGCTTTTTGCTCAAGGTTAGTGCTCTAGCACTTGGGCCACACAGTTTCACTTCCAGCTTTGTGCTGATTAATTGGAGGTAAGAGTCATGGACTTTCCTGCCCAGGTTTGGCTTCAAATCATGATCTTCAAATCTTAGCCTCCTACTCAAATCCTCAGATTGCCTATGACTCTAGACGTGATCCACCAGAACAAGGCCAAACATTTGCTTTTTTGTTGTTATTGTTGCTGGTCCTGGGCTTTGAACCCTGGGCCTAGGCACTGTTCCTGAGCTTCTACCACTTGAGCCACAATGCCACTTCCCACTTTTTTGAGTAGTTTATTAGAGATAAGAGTCTCATGGAGTTTCCTGCTCAGGCTGACTTTGAACCATGATCCTCAGATCTTAGCTTCCTGAGTAGCGAGGATTATAAGCATGGGCCATCGGCACCCTGCTCAAAGTTTTGCTTTTTAAAAAATAATTTTATTATTATTTTTTACATGGCGCTGAGGAATCAAACCTAGGGCCTCATGCATGCTAGGCAAGCACTCTACCACTAAGCCATGTTCTCAGCTTAAAAGTTTTGCTTTTTAAAGTGAATTTCAAAGCCAGGGGTTTGTATCTCCTGCCTATAATCCTAGCTATTCTGGAGGCTGAGGTTTGAGGATCACAGATCGAAGCCAACTTACACAGGAAAGTCTGTGAGACTCTAACCTTCAATTTAGCACAGAAAAAGCCAGAAATGGTGCTGTGGTTCAAGTGGTAGAGCACTAACTTTGAGCAAAAGGAGCATAGGGACAGTGCCCAGGCCCACAGTTCAATCCCCAAGACTGGCAATAATTCTTAGAGAACTCCTAAAATACTGAAAATCTAAAATTTAAGGAGATCAGTGTCAGACTAAATCATGTCTAGCAGAGGCCAATCAGCCTGTACATTTAAAGTATATTATTTCTAAGTATGCAAAAAATATACTCCAGCTAAATTAGGTTACATTATATTCTTGCAGTGTTCAGTCTACCCTCAATTTCCTTTCTGCACATCTCTATGTCAAAATTTTAATCTATTCTTCCAGGCAACAGGTCAAATAATGACTCAAACATAGCAAAACTATTTTATAAATGTCTACACATATGGATAGCATAGTAACTATTCAAAACAGACTACTGATAACTGATTTATTTTTCCAAGTTATACATATTTAACTTAAAACCCTTTCTAACAAACAGTTCAAAACCTGGGAGAAGTTTTTATACTTGCGAAAATGAATGAATCTCTAAGTTCATACAGAAAACAAAGCTAAACCAGAGATCAAAATGTGAATAAATTACTAATAGATAGGCAGATATCACCCTACATGACTGAGCATTAAAATAATATCATTTTCTAGTTACTTACTTGTCTTCTACCGCAGTAGCTCCAATTAAATTCATGTTTGTTTCAATATCATCAAAAACTTTTTCCATTTTTTCTTCTCTGTCTTGTAAGGACATTTTGGCCTCAATTAATTGTCTGTTAATTCTCTCATAATCATCTGGAGTGAGTTCTTTAAAGGCTACACAGAGTGTCCGATACCCATCCTAAAAGCAAAGCAGAACTAGTTGTCCCAAATCCTTTAGCTTTTAAAGATAGTATTAGTTACACATACAAAGCAGAAATTCTGACATATTTAATTTTTTGAAAGAACAGACTACAACTAAAAAACTTGTATTTAATTAATATCTACAGTAAGAAAATAATAGTAGTTTTAAAGATTTTTATTTTTGGTGTCAGCATTGGGACTTGAACTCAGGGCCTGGGCACTGTTTCTTAGCTTTTTTACTCAAGGCTGGCATTTAAGCCACAGCTCCAGTTCTGGCTTCTTGCTGGTTAACTGGAGATGATTCTTTCTCACAGACTTTCCTGCCTGGACTGGCTTTCAGCTATGATCCTCTGAGCTCAGCCTCCTGAGAAGCTAGGATTACAACAGGTGTGTGACACTGGCATCTAGATTAACAAAGATCCTTTTTTAAAAAATATTTTTTGGCCGGTCCTGGAGCTTGAACTCTGGCCTAGATACTGGTCTTAAACTTTTTTTTTTTGGGGGGGAGGTCCATGATGGAGGCTGAACTCTAGGCCCAGGCAGTGTTCCTCCACTCCTCAGCTCAAGGCTAGCACGCTACCATTTGAGCCACAGCTCCACTTCCGGCTTTTTTTCTGCTTATGTGGTGCTGAGGAATTGAACCCAGGACCTCATGCATGTGAGGCAAGCATTCTACCACTGAGCCAACTTCCCAGACCCCTCTTAAACTTTTTTGCTCAAAGCTAGTGCTCTTATCACTTGAGCCACAGGTCTAATTCTGGCTTTTTTGGTAGTTAATTGGAAAAAAGAGTCTCAAAGACTTTCCTGCCCAGAGTTGACTTCGAATCGCAATCTTCAATTCTCAGTCTCCTGAGGATTACAGGCATGAGCCATCAATGCCCATCCTTGAACCAAGATTTTTGGGACATTTCAATGCTGCAAATTCTTAACAGAACAGTTTCAGGATGTTTTATTTTTTTTCTTTTATTTTATTTTTGTGTAAGCTAAAAGGAAATTTACACACTGAAATCTCAAAAGACCTTGGACATGCACATTAACCCTGTTAGAGGTTCTTCTACATGTCTCTCTTTTTTCCATAGGAATTTCCCCAAACATTTAAAACCCATAGCTTTCACTGTATATACAGCCTAAACCATAGCAATCTATGATTATGTCATTTTACACTGTGCAAAATCCTCAAAAAATAGTGGTACAATAGAACAAAAATCAGTATAAGAAAATTTCATTGTAAGACATTCATAAAACTTGGTCCTTCTTTAAATCAAACAGATTTAAAACAGACACAATCTCTTTGACCCCTCCAATCAAGTTCTGACAATGATCCATATCCTATAGCAAAAAGAGCCATCGATGAAGTAGCTAGCAAAAGGTCAAATAGCAATACGCTAGACTGAAAAGATTTAAAAAAGAGCCATAAAATGTTAACCAAAGCCATATCTGAAACAAACCCATCATTCAGGATGTTTTATAATAAAATTTAAAAAATTATATACAATAGACTATAAAATCAAAGTTCATTTAAGCGTCCATTTAAATAGCAATCCCATAAACATGATAATCTCTAGTATTTCTCTATTTAGTTATTAGGAGAGGGGCATAGGCTCACCATTGCATTACGTTCCACATGGCTTTTAGTTAACTCAATTTCATGGTTTTGAACCCTGGGGAAAATTGCTGAATCTGCTCCTTTACAAAATAGAATGATGTCTCCTAAGATAAAAATAAATAAATAAATAAATAAACACAAAGCACTGGATTTAATAGGGATACAGGTGGACCCATTGCAACAATGAGACATACAATATGATATGTCGAAAAACGAACTTTACAACTTTGGCGGGGGGGAGACTGTAGTAATGGAGATGGGAGGGTAGGGATAGTAAGGGAAAAACAAAGGAGGAGACAACAATGCTTGATAAGAAACTTACTCATTACCTTGCTCATGAAATTTTAACCCCTCTGTACGGTCTTTTCACAATAAAAAATTATTTTTTAAAAAAGGAAGTATTTAAAGAAAAAAAGCGCTGGATTTATAAACTGAAGATGAATATTGAGATAGCTATTAAGCCCTCTCTCATCCAGTTGTTGCGTATTTCAAGTATGCTTTGCACACTTGGAATGAGACATTTGGAGGGTTTTCATCTCTTCACACCATTATGGTTACAAGAAATGAGTTAAAATTTTCAACATGCACCTCTGCTAAAATACAGATTGCCTTCCTCTATCAGGGAGGACTGGGCTTGTGTCAAGCACCTGTAGCTGAATTCTCTGGAATTTACAGTATACATAGGTGTCAAGAACTAAACTCAAGTTTGAACAGGCTGAAGTCATTTTGAATAAACTACACAATTAGCTTTTAAAACACCAGTTTGAATGGTTTTATTAGGATTTTAAAAACAGCTTTTGAGAATGCAAGTCCAAGTGCAACTTTTGTATCAGTTCATGTACCCAGCAAATTTTAATAGGTGAGTACTAAAAAAAAAAAAAAAGAGCTCAGTTCATTAAATTAAAATGTATACCTCTGAGGTCACAGGCCTTCACAGATCATTTCCCTAGATACTTGAGCATTTTCAAACAAGTATGTAAGGTATGCACATATAAGATCAATGAGCATTTAAAATGCTAAATGCCTGTTTCATTTTCCCATGAGGGAAAATTGTGTGTGAAATACATATTCGAAGTGTTTGAAATTCATAAACAAAATCCATGGACAAAATCAATTCTATGACTTCACAGTCACATCACAGAGTATGATTAATGTGGCATCTAGGAAATGGCCCTGTGGCTCAAGTGGTAGAGAGCTCGCCTTGAGCTGAAGAGCTGAGGGACAGCGCCCAGGCCCTGAGTTCAAGCCCCATGACCAACAACAACAAAAAAAAATTCAAGCTAATGTGGGATCTATCTTCCAAGAGTTGTCTCCATCCTTTTACAATGAAGAAATTGGACTGCTAGGGCAGCACAAATCAGAAGGATTGCAGTTCAAGGCCAGCTGAGGCAAAAAGCAAGATCCTCCATATAAACAAAAATGTTGGGAATAGTGGTATGAAAGACTGCAGTCTGAGGCTGATCTTAGGCAAAAACACAGACTCTAGTTGAAAATCTAAAAAACAAAAAAGATGGAGGAGGCCATAGGGGAAAGACTGCAGTTGGAGGCTGGCCCTTTGCAAAAACATGGTACTTTACCTGAAAAAGTAACTAGAAAGCAAAAAAGGAATAGGGCATGGCTGAGAGTATCTCCTTAAATAACACAAAGTCCTGAATTCAAGCTGTACTTGCTTAAATAATGCAAAGTCCTGAATTGAAACCACAGTACACTTGAGAAAGGGTAGGAGAGGAAAGAAAAGGGAAGGGGGGGGAAAGGAGGCAGAAAATTAAAGCTGGGTGTAGTTTTATATGCTTGTAATCACAGCACTCAGCACTCAGAGGAAGGGGGAGAAGGATCGTGAGTTCCAGATCAGCTTGGGCTACACCACAAGATTCCATCTCAAATTTTAAAAAATATTGAAAAAGACTTAATACTTAGAAGTAAGTGAGTAGAAAACAAATCAGGGATATTATAAAAATCAAACCTCCTTGGCCAAACAACAACAAAACCAAACATACATGGGAATACAAATATATCTATATGAGAGCCTGTGAATAATGCAGCAGTACTACTCTGGGTTTTTTTCAGAATCTGAGCAGAAGGCAAACCTACATGATGCCTCCCAAAGACATAGGGGAGCCTGAGAGGATGGTGCTGTTTCCCCTGTAAAGGGGAAGCTTCCCTCTGTCAGAGTCTTGAGCTCTGGAATGAAGCCAGAATACCCTTTCCCAGAAGCCTGGGTTAGTCATCTTTACTTCATCTGCTTCCAGGGAGTGTAAAGCAGTTGCAAAAGTCCCAAGGTCAGGGAGGATAAGCAGCAATTCTCTACACTCTAGGCTTCTGCTGCTGGTAATCCCTCACCAGTCAACTGTACTGAGCGGTTTTCTTTGTAAAATTACTATACCATAAGATTATTGGTGCTAAAAAGTAATGAGTATGGTTGTTGCACCTGGTAAACATTCACAGTTCAGTACTAAGAAATGAGCACCTTGAATGTATTCAGAGCTGAGTACCTAGAACCACACAAAAGTTACCCTTTTAGTTCCTGACTAAACAGCCAGGGTAGAAGAATAGTTTCATTTCTAAGAAAATGCATTTACTGTCATTCCAGACGTTCTGCCATTGACAATCCGGCAAATTTTAACATATTTCCAAAAAAAAATGTGTAGCTATAAAATGGAACTGCTGGGCTGGGAAGGTGGCTCAGTGGTACATCGCTTGTCTTGCATGCATGAGGCCCTGGGTTTGATTCCTCAGCACCACATAAGCAGAAAAAGCTGGAAGTGGCACTGTGGCTCAAGTGGTAGAGCACTAGCCTTGA